TTGACGCTCGAACAAAACTTTCTGGAGCGCCAACTCTATTTTCCTGTGTGGTATGGGCCTACGGGAAAAAGGGCCCAGAGACATATCCAGAAGCTAGGAGACCTAGAACAATTCCCCACTTCTCCTCCTCTGCTCTGTGACCGCCATCCTCGAACTTTCTGGCCGCAGCCGCCGCCCTCCTCCACTAGTAAATCCAACCAGCGCCGCTCCTTCCACTCCTCTGAACTCCACCACTGGTCGTCTCTCACCTCCGCCACATCCACCCTGGTGAACCTACATCCGCCACTGTCGCCGGCCTTCGTCTCGTTGACCTCGACCGTCGGTTACCTGCAGCTCCATCCGCTGCCGCATCCCACCTCCCTCCGCCCACCCCACCCCAACACGGCCACCCTGTACGCGTTGCCTGCACCCTCTGCTCACTGCTCCAGATTAGGTTAAGTCTACCGTCGCAGATCCAGCAAATCGGCGCCTCCTCCACTGACGAGACAGCAGCAGCCTCCTCCTCTCCATTTTGTTCCAGCCAGTTGATCTATTTTGCTGTGGTAAGTCTCAACTATGGTCGCCCAAAAAAAGTTGTGTAGAATATAGATCTTGGGACAACAAGATCTTGATTTCCTTCTTTTGCTGGCTCGTTGGTGAAAAGAGTAGCCTTATGAGTGGGAAAAATGAAGGGACCTTGGATCTGTTTTCAGTGTGTTGATTTATTCAATTTCAATTTGCTATAAAGAGCTTTGTATCTCACCTCACGTGTTTCGAAAATTTAGGAGCTACTGTTGGGGTGTGTTATTAGCACTCACGTTGGTTCATGCCATTGAAAACTAAAAGGTTCTTGTATCATTGCTAGATATGTGCTTTTAGAATATGTACTGCATGTGAATATGAGGCCTAGCTCTTTTCTCAGTGTTATTTATGTACATTTTGGTCATGACTTTATGAGAGAGTTGAAGTATAATGTCTTGAAATTAGGTATGTCAAATACTACCATATCATGAAGCCATTGTTGAAGCTGCAGCCCACGGGCACAACTTCTGGATATCACCTCCTTTGGCAAATCATTTTGGCAGTAAGTGTTCAGTTTAGAAGCAATTTAGTCATATCTTTAGTAGGAAATGTAAGTAATTATTTGCATATGTGTCAGTCTCTTGTAGGTACTGCTTCTCATCTGTAGAATCTTTGTGGCGGAAGGAAGGAAGCCCATGTATCAGTATTATAGATGAAGTGAAGAGCAAGGCAAAACTTGTCTCAGGTACCTCTCACACTTGGCAAGCTTGTCTTGATGTGCTAATTATCTCACAGAAAGTATGGTGTGTTGGTTGTTACCTTATTATTTGTTGTTGTCATTATTTATTTGGCGAATTACTTATTTATTTGTCTTCCCCTGAACCCATATTCGGTCGTAGGTACCTAGTCCTTGGGAATATGCCATCCCTTGGATGTGGCAATGAGCTTGGCTCCCTGTTCTCATACGGCCTGCTAGAAGAGTGAGCTGGCGTGTGTCGGTCCTCTGTTTTCCATGTGTATGTGTTTCTGTTTTGGTGCAAGCCCATGGATACCAAAGACTATGACGAATACAGGCGTCTTTAGATAAAGTTCTTGCAGGTCAGCAGCATGAGGTGACTAATGCACATGCATATCTATCTACTTTTTGTGTTTCTTCCATCATGTTCTTGGTAAACTGTAATTCCACTTGCTGCAAGTAAACTTTAGTCTTTCAGACATCTTTAGTTCTTGTTCTAAAAAATCATCTATGATTGCAATTGTGAGATTGCACATGTTTCCTCAAAGAAAAGACGTCCAAGACCTTGTTAAGAATGCCTCCTAATGGACAGAAGGTCGAACTTGAAGCTACTGGCGAGTATCATTTACTGCTGTCCATCATTTTATAAAGCACTATAATGTAGTATAACATCAAATGATTACATTGATGCCATGCCATATCTAAGATTTGCAAAGAAAATACTAAATGAACACCCTTTTTTCGTCCTTCTGGATTAGCCAAGTGTTTTGCTCAATAGTGCTATGTTATCTAAATTATCATCACGTGGACCAGATTATGTTCTAGAGCCACTTTAAAACATAAAAAATGTATGTTTCACAATGATTTTGCATCTATTGTATAGATATGCCAAAAAGATGAACCTTGAAAGAGTTTAGAGGATAACAACTCTCATGGTGAAGGATGTTGCTTATCATATCCTGCCCCTTTCAATATTATTCTCATTCGTGGTGTACATGACATGCAGGGAAATAACACTGATTCATCCCCTGTTAGTTTGGAGGATGGTGCTATGGACGACCACGTCGGCAATGGCAACGCTGGAGGCAACAATGATGGTGAGAACATGGTGGTAGCCTAGGTGACTTTGGAACTTATGCGGATGTAGGTGATGCTCCAGATCATGAACAAAAGTGACTTAGAAATGTGAGTATTTTGTTATCATTGCATTGCTTTGTGCAATGTGATGGATGAGTATTTTGAGTGGTGGTGGCATGTATGTGTACAGCTGTCATGTTACTATTGTTGAGCAAGTAAACTTTTCAGATGTCAACTACCAGCTATTCAATCATGCATGGATTTATAGATGGATATGTGTTATGTATATACTGATTCTAAATGTGTATATGAAGATATGATTTAGATTTGTGTTTATACGTGGACCATTGATATGTGCAACTACATTTCTTATTATAGAAGCACATGGATTTGTTAGTTATGTGCTCAGCAATGGTCAAAATAAAATGAAATTACGTGATCAACATAATTTATTTTTTGGCATGCCTATTTTTCCTGTAGGTTGGCTGTCACAACAAGTCGACCTATAAATCTGACGGCATCCTGATTTCCCTGAGGGTGGCCGACAGGAGAAACCGTCAGGGGAAATATCCCCTGTGGGCCGGCCGTCAGGCACTAAAAGATTTCCCTGTCGTTCTATTCCTGTCAGAGTTTTCCTGTCGGGTAACCGTCGGGAAATATTTTCCTGACGGGATTTGGCATTTCCCTGTCGGTTACTAGTTGTGAGGAAAAGTCTGCTTTCTGGTAGTGATGATGACCATGGCATGGTTGCCAGACATGTGCATGATTTCGTCTTTCTGTTGTCACCGGCAATAGAAGCTAGCGTGAAATTTGAACTGCGGATACAACATGTTCTTATGGTCAGACTTATAACACATCAAAAGAGCAGCATTGAGAACTGTTTTCAAAGCTGTCCATGGCTTCTTTGGGTCTCTCCCGGAATAAAAGAAATAAGCGAGGCCGTCCCAGACGATTAGTACGATGATGATCCAGTATTCAATGCTACGCAAAATAATTCAAAAATGTAACATGAATGAGACTGACATCAAAGTAGGCATGTGTATATGTGCAATCATAAAGGAATGAACTTATGTTTCGAAGTAAGGCGATAAAGTTGTCCTTGTGACAAGGACTATGAAGAATTGTCTTGTGAAGGTAATTCACTATAAGACACTGACCTTTAAAAGAATCAACATTGCCACAATGCATGATATACGGATCAAGGAAGACAACTTCTTCCTTCTGGAGAAATGGATTTGTAGCATGCCATAGCGACCAAAGCCTCATTAAAGATGGATTGACTATGTCGATGTAGAAAATATTGTCATTGACCACATTATCAAATGTGAGATATATTTTATCATAAGGGAACACGTTGACAAAGTCAAGACCATAACATTGACGGTGTAATACATCTCACCCTTTCCTAAAATGCTACTATGTCTTTGTGTAGAAGCTGAATTTCAATGCTTAGCGCACTCAACTTGTGTTGTGGTAACATTGGTTCCCCAGGCATAAATATTTGCCATACGCGCGAACTACTAAGAACATTCAGCACATTTTCTTCTAGCGCCTTACTGGCGGTAGGTTCGTTAGCTGATTTCTTCTTTCTCTTTCTGCCCTTTTTATGACTCTGAACTAAGGGGGCCATAGATGATGGTTCTCCGGAATTCATTTGTTGTGTTTGCTAAAATTGAGTGTGGCAATTATGAGTCATAAAGCTTAAAAAAATAGTGCTAGGACTTTGACATGACCTTTGCTAACAAGAGGACACAGCTAGTGCCTGAAATTTGGCAAACTGGAAATGAATCAACATTTCGTGAAAACATTAGCACTGATGTCATAACCTCCAACCATAATCCAAAGATACTACATCAGATCTTATACACACTACTCAAATTTAATCCATGCTATATCGATCAAATATGTACTTCTATTTACCCTAAATAAAATAATAAGACTAAGAAACATTGACATGTATTTCTAAACCACTATTATTTACCCTATACACAAATCTTCCCATGCATACCGGAGAGGTAGGGAGCTTGGCGCTTGAAGGCGGCGCGAGGTCTCCGATGTTGGCGGAGGAGGGTGACATGGCCGCAAGGCTATCCATCGAGGTGGAGCTCGGCGGTGATGGTGGCGGTGGTAGCGGCGAATAGATGCCTCCTCTAGTGTAGGAGGAGGAGGCCATGCCCGCGTTAGCGCGAGGAGGGGTGCGGCGGCGAGGAGCAGCGGCGGCGATGAGGAGGGACGGTGACGAGAGGCGCGACAGTAACAAGGGCGAGATTTGAGGGGAGAAGAGACGGCGCGGGGGAATGGTAAGTTTTGTGGGTGAATCAGATTTTGGGCGAAAATTGAACTGTCAGCGTTGTGGGTGTACGAGTGACGGGCGCGGGATAACACCCGCCACCCAAAAGGCGAGAAGCTGTGGGGTAGTACGAATAACCCGCCACTGCAAAGATGACCTCCTGTTTGGAGGTTACCAAAATTTAGATATGGCGGGTGAAAGATTTGCCCGGCACTGCCCGCCACTATTAGGTTTCATCACACGGTCAAATTTGAAAAGGATTACCTGTGACGGGCGAGATTTTCGCCCCCCACATCTACTTTTCCAAATTAGCTGTGGCGGGTGACACAGCACCCGTCACTAATTTGAGTTCACCTATAAACTATTTCCCAGTAGTGACTTGTCTTGATATCTTACTCAAAGCTGCACTTGCCTGCCATAGATCCAGCTGAAAGGAACAACCGGCATCTGCTTTTCGCTCCCCTGAGCTCGCTCCAACAGCTTCCTAAACCTTGGCCCTAGGGAGCAGAGGTAATCCTGAGCACGCCGCCCTTCCCCGGATAGCCCAGTGAGGCCGGCGACGTTCCACCTCTGGGCCAGGAACTCGAGGATGTCGGCGTAGTCCATGGCGGTGTAGACGCCCAGCCGCTGTGCCACCGCGCTGAAGTGCTCAAACAGGTTGTTCTCCTGCCCATCATACATCAGGTGGGCGGGCAGGGTGATCTTCTTCTTCATGATGCTGGCGAAGGCTAGAACCGTGTAGTCGGGATCGACCTCGAAGAGCTTCTCCACTATCTTGGTATAGGCATGCTCATGGCGCCTTTCGTCAGCCGCGATAGTGCCGCATATCTGGGCCAGCTTCAGGTCCCCGTACTTCCTGGCGTGCCTTGCAGTGTTGCCGTGAGATATGAAGGTTGCCCTCTCTTGGAAAGACGTGTAAATGAAAAACTCATAGGGGTTGGCCTCGGTTTTTGGATCCTACAACAAGAACAAGACAGGGTAGTTACAACAAACTGGCCTACTCTTAATCTTAACTATTGAACATATGTGTATGCTGCTGAAGGTTGCCATTCTCAAATATATTTGCGAAAAGTTAGCAAAAAATGGCATTTGATGAACGAAGTAGTATCATTTTGACAATGACAAATTTTTATTCCCTTCCCATTTGTTTGAGCAATAAAACAATCAACCAATAAGAATGGAAGTTGTGACAAAGAAGGATGACACAATCAGATAAAGTGCTTACCATTCCAGCACCAACCAAATACTGTATGGTCTTCTCCACCTGCCTCATATCAGCCCTCCCAGTAAGATAAATATACTTGTTCATGAGATCACCATGTCGGTTCTCCTCAGCCGTCCATGCCCTCGTCCAGACAGCCCAGCTGGTTGGGCTGCTGCCAGTTTCGTCGCGGACACCGCCATCAAGGATATTGAGCATTTTCTGATAGGTAGGGAGTGCTTCCTCAGTGACCATGTCTCCAACCAGACATACCAAGTAGTCGTCCGGGATCTCCTCGGCTCGCTCCCTCAGCTCCTTGACTTCATCATAAAATCTGTCCGAGGAAGGGTCTGGCAGGTAGTCCTGTGGCTGCCAGGATCTTTCAACCGGCTTCAAGAGGACCAGAATGTTGTCCTCTGCCCAACTGTTAAGCGAATCAAAAACCTCTCTCTTTTCAGGTGGCAATGAGTGAGCGACTCGGTCTCTATGAGAAGCCTTGCGAGGACTGAAGGCCTTTCCGGGAACTCCATCCCTTACGATGCAAGACAAACTAAAGGTCAATTAAAGGAAAAGATAGGCATGTGGTCTCAAATCCTGCATAATAAGTATTTGCACACAAAAACGCTTGCCCAGGCTACCATCAGACCCACTGATTCGCCGTTTTGGAAGGGACTTATGAGAGCGAAGGACATGTTCTTTTGTAGGGTCAAATTCTTGGTTGGCAACGGGATGTTAACAAGATTTTGGGAGGATACGTGGCTAGGAGAGATGTCTCTGGCCTTACAATATCCTACCCTCTACAATATTGTGCAACGTAAGAAGGATTACGTAGGTATCATCCTTCAAACTATCCCCTTAAACATCCAGTTCAGACGTACGTTAGTGGGTGAGAGGTGGACAGCCTGGATGCACTTGGTTCGGAGATTGATTGAAGTTCGACTCTCCGACATGCCGGACTCAACACAATGAAAGTTAACTAAAAATGGGATATTTAATGTGAAATCTTTTTATACGGATTTGATTAATTCTGGCCCCCTCTCAAGGTCATTGCATATATGGAAGGTTAAAGTTCCTTTGCGGATTAAAATTTTTATGTGGTTTGTCCACAAGCAAGTAATTCTCACAAAGGACAACCTACTTAAGAGAGATGGGTAGGCAACTCGCCGTGTTGTTTTTGTGCTCAGGATGAGACAATACAACATTTATTTCTTGAATGCCCACTTGCCAAGTTATTTTGGAGAACGATTCATATAGCCTTTAATATTAATGCTCCAGTAGATATTGCGTCTATTTTTGGGACGTGGTTAGCTGGGATTGAACAGATCACGGCAGCTCGTATTCGGATTGGAATATGCGCGCTATTATGGGCTATATGGAACTGCAGAAATGATATGATTTTTAACAGACAACACAACTTAACTTTTTCGCAGGTTATCTTCAGAGCTACAGCTTGGATCCATACGTGGTCCTTACTCACTCCTATGGACTCCAGGGAGCCTTTGATTACTGGGTGCAACCAATGGGAGATGGTGGCTCGGGTTATATTCAACCGGTTCGGATGGCGTTCGCATAACAGGATAGGAGTCTAGAGAGCTTATCCTTATTTTTACCGTATCGGTTGTCTTTGTCCGCTTGTATTTTTCCAGTTTATGTATTTTGTTTTGCTCTGTTTGCGAGCTGTAAGACAATCATGACGATACTTTCTGAATTTTTAATAAGAGGGCCGCATGCATCATCATGATGCAGAGGCCGGAGGTATGCCTCCATTTCAAAAAAAAAAAGGAAAAGATAGGCATAAGAATCTTGCTTGGTTCAGAACTCACATGGCCTTGAAAGCCGTGGCCATCACCGTGGTTTTGCTCCTCGAGCAAGAATACCAAAGAGGTGCATGGAAGGCGCCGTGGGAAGGCAGGGATGCCATCAGATACATGACCCTTTACCAGTCCGTCGCCACCCCTTCAGCTGTTAGATTGGACTTGTGCAGCGCTTCGAATCAGCTCCTTGAAACATCCTCACTTGTGTTGGTACTGAGGTGAGCAATTGAAGTGGGGGTACTAGTATTTGATTTGTATTCGGTTTATAGCTGCCCCAAACGTTCTCACAAAAACTTCGCATAGTTGGACGTTTTCGATGCTTCCACACTGAAATAGTTTGGTTCGTGCTTGCAGGGTCCGTGGTTCAGAAGCTACAAATAGTCACATCAGTACGCAACAACATATCCATGCTTATCGCATGCCTCCTGCTTGCACCTGCATCAAGAATGCATGACCAGAAGGTATTTGATCCAACCGGCTGTATAACTCTTGCTGAGAAAAATATTAGTGCTTCTCCTTCTCTGCAAATTTATTAACAAGCCACTTATCATAGTTTCAGGTCAACGCACAATTTGTGAAATTGGGGACCGAATAATTAATTTTTGAGAAAAGGAATTTTCATTAACTCATAACAATGAGCATATATCCGGCATCGGCATGAGCATAGCTAGAATTCACAAAACCAACACACAAAGAATCACAACGGCAAGTAGGAAAGCCATGAAAGATCAACGCTATGCCTAGGCAAATAAAAACAAAAAGGAAACAAAAAAGAGCAACATTGATCTTCGCCGTGCAGTTGCAACCACCGAACATGATGTAAGCGCATATGGTCTAGACGTGATATCCACGCGAGTTGAAAACCATACACACATCAAGCAATAGCTAGTCATGCAGCCATTAATCATAGAGGGAGAGAAGACGCCACCACCTAAATCCCACGCTTCCATCCCGAGTGTCTGGCAAGTCTAGGCACCCAAGATACTACACTACGAGCTATCAGTGTCCGACCAAGGCCATGATTATCATCGGAAAATTACCACGCATTATCTTCTTAAAGTGACGTTCGACGAAGGATCACCACCAACCGACGCCAAGGCTGATTACAATGGAAGTATCATAGGAAGTATTATGCATGCCACACATTTTCGTTGAGGTGGCACACAATTAAACGATAAAATAGATGATTGGGTATCATGATATGATACAGTATCATATAAAATGATGTACTATTATGTATCTTGCATGACAATGAACAAGGTCATCTATGATATCCGCGTGATACTATGCACTATGAAGGCGGTATCATACGCTAGTATCTTATGCATATGATATTAGTATATAATACTTCCTACTGCGAGCAACCTAGGACGTATTTGGTTGCTCGCAAATTGTTTGGTTCTGGATGAGGAAAACAGCCTATAATCCACTAACTGCAGATTGTTAGGTTGTCTGCAT